GAAAAAAATGAAACCTTTATCCTTGATGAATAGGTGTAACTTGAAAAGGAACATCATAGTGATATATAATAGCTTTTTTCCTTCATACCTGAACTGCTCGCCATATATGAAGACCGGCAGGGGTAGGGAACACCAAACTGACCACCCAGCACAGACTGAGCAGTAGTGAGGTGAGCTTCCTCCGGCACTCTGTTTTCTGGCTTGCTACCTTGAAGCTGAGTGTTGAAGACAGAAGAGACACAGGGGAGGAGTTTGCGGCCCTGATTTACTTCTAAGAGCAGAGCCTCCCACCAACTACTGTTGGACACGAGGATGTGAAGGCCATCAACACTCAAAGTCTGTGTGACAGCAGTTAATATTATACAGTGTCAGCTGGCATCCATGTGCCTGCTGCCAGGTCCTTCCGGCCCTCTGAGATTCCTCGCAGCATCCACTGCAACAGTTTCCCTGCAATTCCCCATGAGGAATAAAGACTAGGGATCCCTGGAATTCTCTTCTGGGAATTTGTAAGTCCCTAAAGTTTTCCTTTGACCAGAGCCTCTTCTTTGCTGTGCTTTTGTACGGCGTACAGCATCAGGTGAAGGGCTAAGCAAGTGTGTCAGTCACACTTCTGTTCCCGCAACAAACACCTGAGATAATTAATGTGTGAAGATAAAAGGTTTACTGGGCTCAGTTTTGGAAGTTTCTGTTCATGCTTTGTTGGCTCTGTTGGTTTTTGACCTGTGGGTGGCATGTCTTAGTGGGAATGTGTGGTGGAAGAAAACCTCTCTCCTCATTAATTGAGTATGAAAGAGAGAAGAAGAAAGGGCCAGGATGTCACAAGCACCCCAATGTCATGTCCCCAGGGACCTGAAGACTATCCATGAAGCCCCACCTTTTGAAATCTCCCAGTAGTACCGTGCTGGGGACTAAACCTTTAATACATGGCCTTGGGGCACACCAACGCCAGATCCAAACTTTGGCGGCAGTGGTATGCACACAGCTTTTTATGTGTTTTCTAGGCCTCCTGTGCCTTCAGGGGAAGTGCCTGAGAGCTTCCTGGGTCCTCTTCTGGTGAGACTCCCCAGGACGTCTTCCATCTCGGCTCCCTTTCATGTCTCCACAGGATCCTGCTGCACTGGTCACTGTCACACTGCCACATGGTTACTGCTGGCCTGTGTATTTATGGGCATTTCTAGATTCTCTTCAGGATGTGTGAATTCTTTTTAATAAGAGATAGAGAGGAAAAAGTACATTAATATGTAACACATTTTCATTTGCAATGATTATAGTAACTCCAAATATTTTTTGAGAATTTGGAATAAATTTACCTGACCTGAAATTGACCATTCTTTTAACTCAAGAAAATGATGTTTTTTCAAGAATTCTGCAATCCTAAGTTTTTAAAAAAGAATAATAGTAATAATAATAATGCTGTTTAAAATTTCTTAAAGAAAATATTTTAAGTGATGTATTAGCTTTCCCATTCCTGGAGGGAAAAATATCTGAAAACCACAATTGAAAAGGAGAGGTTTATTTTGGCTCACAGTTTCCGTAGGTACAGTTCTCAGCTGGCTGCCTCCAAGGCAGACATAGCAAGCCAACATGGGTGGCAGAGGAAAGCAGTTTGTCATGCGGTGGTCAGGAAGCAGGAGAAGGAGCAGCTGGGGATGAAAACATGGCCTTCTGAGTCACACTCCCCAGCGCACTGTCCTTCAGACCAGGCCCCTCCTCCACATATGAGACTTTTGGGGGACATTTTAGATCTAAACCATAACAAGCACAGTGAAGAACTTTTAAGGCCTATTTATTCATATGCCCTTTGTGTATTTCTTACAAATCATATTTACCTATTTTTTACAAAGCACTTGACTAAGGAAAACTGCTGGATATAAGTGGCAGGTGTATAAATACCAGAAAGCAGAGAGAAACAAATAACTCCAAATAAATGAAAATCTGCCTTTTCTTCGAACATTCCCACTTCTCCCCATTTTGCTTCAAAGGACTTGGGCTCAAATAATGGAAGTGGTGTCATGCAATCTTAAACAGGAAATTTACTGGAAGGCTCTTTGGGACTTCGTGAGTTTAAGGTTTTGTTTGGAAGAGGGGAAGAAGCACGGGCCTCTATAATGGGCAAGCCCTGCAGGCTCAGGAGGACCCGAGCACAGAGTTTTCCAGCAGATGGGGTTCTTACAGAAGCTCCCATTTGGTGTGGCAAGGTAGCCAGCAGGTAAGTCCATGTGTTCTGAAAGAAAAAAGAGGGCTGGAAAGTACAGAGAGCTTTGTGACTCCTTCATCAGCAGTTAGCAGTGAGTCTGGGTCCCCTCTTTGTATCTTTGGTTTTTTTTTTTTTTTGTCTTTTTCATTTTTATCGGTACCGGGGGATCGAACTCACAACTGCCTGTTTGCAAGGCAGGTGCTTATGCCGCTGAGCTAAACCCCCAGCCCCCCTCTTTGAATTTTTGCCTTGCCTTAACTTTATTCCTTAAAGGAGCCAACTAGAAACACTCAACTGCTGCCCAGCCTGGCCACTAGTGGACAGGTTGGATCCTGCTTCCCCAAGCACACATGGGGCCATCACCCAGAGATCCTTTCTGGGCTTTTTTGTTTATGTGTCTCCAGATCTGCTATAGTAATCCTAGTGCCCAAAACCTTTCTCTCTCTCTTTGTGTGTCTGTATGTCTGTGTGTGTCTGTATGTGCATGTGTATTCTTTCTGGACAGAATTTCTCAACCCACTTTCATTCCCCTCAAGTTTATATATCTGGAAAAGAGTGTACAGAAATTTAGCCTTTTTTTATTGCATGTTATCATATCCTTTATAGGTTTGTTTTTTTGTTTTGGGTCTGGAAAAATATACACATTCTTACCATTTTAAAGCATCTCATTCTGAGAACGAGAACACTCATACCATTGTCCCACCAACACTACCCTGTTTCCAGAACTTTCTCATCTTCCCAAAATGAGACTCTGTCCCCTTTCAATACCAACTCACCTCAACCTCTGGTAACCCCAGCCTGCTTTCTGCCTTTAAGGACGACTCTTCTGGGGAAACTTTTGTAAACATGTGGGAGACAATCCAGTGATTCCCTTTGAATCCAAAATAATTACTGTGACTTTGATTACTTGAAGACTCATTTCTTTATACTGATATGTAAAAGACTGGCTATGGTATTTCCTTCTCTTTTCATTTGGCTCTGAGCATTGCAAATAAGGCTAGCAGAGGTGCTAATATGCAAAATCTATAGCCATCAGACAGTCCTGTTACCTCTCGCATAGTGTTCTCCACAATACAGGATTGAGCTCAGGAGATGTTAGAGCAGATAGCTCTGGGAATGTCAACTGGGTAGGAGCCTCAAGATAGGAGGCTATGACTCCCCAGGGCGCAAGAGTTTGCATATCAGAAACCAAAGCCATGGCCCCCAAAACAATTCCCCTGTTACCTTAATTGGATTATGTAGGTTGATTCTTCTGCATATCTTTATCTCTGCAATTTACAGAGATGCTAATCTTGTACCTAGCTAGCCAGCTAGCTCAAGTTACTCACATAATTCCCTCCATCCTCACTGTCACCCATCCCTGAGCCACCCCACTTCTTGACAAGATAATAAATTCTGGGAGAGACTTAGGATAATATATCCTAAAGGACAAGATAATAAATTCTGGGAGAGGCCTTTGTCCGCATATCCTCACGAGGAGAGGATTGGATTTAGGACCCCTTGGCTGCCCTTAACTTGGAATATGTCTTGGTGTTTTTCCTTTTACCGTGGGTTGCACTGGTGGTGGTAGATTGGAATTAACTTGCTACGATTCCAATGACGTCTCAATGAAATTACAAATATAACCTTTTGGATTGTGAGGAAAATTAGAAAAAGAATCACAATACTTGGATGACTAAACTCGATATTTGGGTTTACAATATAAACAGATTCACACAGATCTCGTCCTTTTGTGGCTGGTTTATTTCATCTAGCATAGTGACCTCAAGGCTCAACCCTATGGTGGCAGGTGGCAGGTGGCAGGCTAGGCGGTCTCCCACTGTTTGTGTGGACTACATATTGTTTATCCATCCATTCATTGACGTGCCCTTGGTTCCCACCCTTTGGTTACTGGGAATACTGTTTGTGTGAACATGGATGTGCAAATAGTCTTGGGATCGTCATAGTCTTTCAGGCTCACAGATCAGCATACTGAGGGTAGCACTTTCCAATGCCTTCATATTATGGTGTATAGAGGAAATACAAGGGGTGATTAAAACATATGATAAATATTTAAATGTTAAAATTGTATTACAATAAAAGACACATGACATTAATACCCTTTAAAACACTTCTCACTTTGAAAACTTATCCAACTGTTCACGCCACTGTCTGAAGAAGTTCTGGAAGTCCTTTTTTGCGAGTATTACTTGGAATAGTGCTGCTGAGTGCCACCTGACAGAAAGGCGGGCTTGTAAAAACATTATGGTGTATCCTCAGGTCCTTTCTGCCCAGGATCTGGCACTGTGAAACTTCTGGCTCTTCCAGGCAAAATAACCATGAAAGGCAAATGTTTTGAATTGATTGAAGATACCACGACAGCCATATCAACACAAGTAAAGACACTCATGAAAGATGACTTCTAAAACTACCTCAGAAAATGGCAAGAATGATGGGATAAATGTGTTAGAAGCAAGGGATAACACGTTGAGGGGGATTTCATGACCAGTGTCAGCCTGCAGAAGAACCCTCTGCAAAGGAAGAGAGGCAGGAGATCCATGAGCTGAGCAAAGGACTGATGCCCAGGGTGGGGGGAGTGAGGGGAAAAGGCGAAGGAACAGGGGCTGACACCAACAGTGTTGCAATGCATGGGGACTCTTCTACATGTCTCTTTTGCACAAGTCAGGTCTGTGTCACAGTAAGAGTTACCATCCCTTGAGGTAGCAGGGTGGGCTTACCTACCTTGGAAGGTGCCACAAGACAGAGATACAACGAGAGAGAGCCTTACAGGACCCTCAGAGTCCATCAAGACCACACTCAGTGCTTCTTTTTCAAATATTTTATTAATCTGTTTGGCCAAACAGGTAATGGAAACTGAGAATAATAATTTGCTAAAAAGTTCAGGTCATGAATGCCCCTTTCCCCAGGAAACTAAAGACTCCATGGTTACAGAATGCACCATTGGGTTATGACAACATTTCAAAATAATGTTTCCATTTCATATGTAACAATGTAAACTTCAAAAATAGTAAACTCTAACCCCAGGTCCCTCTTTACAGATCTATCACAGATAGAATTTTCTGGCTGACCTAAATTATGTAAGGAAACAGCCTGGTGCTTAAAAGTTTCATAAAAAGGTTTACAGATTCAGTAAATAATTTTTCAGTGTTGGTCTTGAAGTAAAAGCCACCAGCAACTCCATTCCAGCATATCTACCTTCTGTGCATATTGTATCCCTTCAACCATGTGCCTGATACACTGGTCACCAGCTTTGCTATTTTTGTACACACACACATATAGTTTTATTTGTTTCTAAAGATTTCTACATCTAAATTATAAGACGGCGCCAGTGACTTAGAATGTCACCTCGCTTCACATAGGTAAAGACAAAAATTCTGTAGAAGGCACTATAAATTCTCCTGCGTGATCTCACGAAGACACAAGAGTGCAAGCCAGCTGGGGTTGGACTTCCTTACCTCCCTGTGACCCACACAGGCCTGATCTGCGATGGTTGTCATGTCCATTATCCTTGCCTGTTTCATCTCCTCACCCATCCGTCCACCTACCTATCCACCCATCCATCCAGCCATCCACCCATCTATCCAGATTAACTGACAGTTATCTTTTGGTTCATTGAAATTCCTTAAAATTAAAAGTACAGCTCTGATATAAAACAAAATATGACCTACTATAGCTGAAAAATAATCACAGTGTACAATGTCATTTTCAGTTGCTAAGATTCAAAACACGCCTGTCTTCCAAAGCGGTCGATGCAAGGCTCATTTTAACCTACTTTACATTCATTGAAAAAGCGCTGAGAGGTTCTTTTTCTCTACCGTATTGAATTGGTTTCCTTAAGTGGAAGGTCTGATGTGGAAAAGTGCAAGCAAGTTGGACATGCCAATAAATACCATAGAACTTACTGCAGATTACCAAAACTGTACAGGTATGTACACCTTGCCCCACCGAGTCTCCTCCCAACAGAAGAGAACAAATCATTACCGCTGGGGCGTCCCCAGTCTCGGAGGAGCGGCCCTAGCGTGCAAAGGAAGGGCGGGCTCTCCTGCTCCTGTTCTGGGGTCCTGAGCCCAGGTCTGCACCACCCTCTGCTGTCTCCTCCTTCTTCCTCACTTTGAGTCGGGTGAGCAGCTTGATCAACCAGACGTCCCACTCCTCTGGCAGGAGCAGGAGAAGGAAGCCCAGGCCAATGATGATGATGGCGATGACCCGAACCCCGTTGAAGACTATCTGGCTGGTGTAGTGATCCACCACTGTGGGAGACAGAGCTTTGGTTACTTGGCAGCTAGGATGAAAGCACAGGACCAGGAGATGCTGGAACATCCAACTTCTTTGGGCAGCCCGTGGTCCTTCTGGGCTACAGAATCCTCTTGGGCAGCCCTTGTTCCAGGAGGGTAAGGTCACCTCCAGTGTTTCACTTTAAACTTCCTAAACCTTGCCTGGTGTGAGGCAATTCACTTGTATTTCATCTTTCCAAACTGACCTAGATTTTGAGTTTAAACATTGATTTGTGGGTGAGAGAAAAATAAATAAGGAGACTGAGGATATGTATAGATTTGGAAGACTAAACCTTCCTTTAAGATAATAAATATGAACTACTCCTCTCTGAGCATTAATCAACATGACACTCTAGTGTCTTTGGAGACTTTGCCTTCAGTGAGGGCTTCTTAAAGGTCCATGGGCTCATGGCCCATCTCAATCCACATTAAGCATGGAACAAAATAAGAAGCAGACTCATGTTAGTTTGTAAAAACTCAGATTGCCATTTTCTGGACAACTCAGCTATCTCTTAAAAGCACTGTGCTGTTGGAGTCCCTTCCTTTCCTGTGGTGGGCTTTGCTCTCCCTTTTCTGTACTAACAACAGCACATCTGGAGACTGCCTCCCACACAAGCCACAGATGGAGCTTCCACCATGCTCTCCTGGGTGAGAGAACGTAGACTTCTGAGCTGCTTTTCAAAAGCAGCATGCAGATTTTGAATGGTGACTTACTGGACAGTGGGTCGGGATTGGGGCGGAGCATTTGCTGAGTCCTACTTGTCTCATTCCTGGCCCCTCCTTTTCCTCCTCTCTCTCCTTCCCTGACTTCCTCCTCCTCTAGCAGATGTGCAGAAAAACATCGAGGGGGTAAATGTTAAATCTGGAACAGCATTGCCAAGAGCCCTTTGCACCTCTTTATTCCACCATCTTCAGCAATATTTTAATCTGCAATACATCCTGTTAGTCACCAGGTGGGAACAATCACCAGTCAGTGCCACAGGCAGGTGTCAAGTAAATCCTAAAGGCAGGCAATGCCCGTGCTCTGACAAGCTTGATAAGATGCACATGTCTTTGTTTCTTTCCTCCAGTCAGGAGCTAGATCCCTGCCTGAGACACATCATTAAATCATTTAAGGAACAGGTAAGTACAGTAATAAGAAGTGATTCTCATTAATTTTGCAAGCACCTGGCTACAGGTTAAAGTTAAAGTAAGTTTCTATGTGAGAACTACCTGGATTATGCTTTTCTGTGCTAAGAACCTCATTTAACTGGGTTAAAGATTCAGAGAATGGAGGGAAGGATGTTAATAAAGTACTTTTCAGATGCTCTTGGGGTATGGAGTACCTTTTTGTCAGCTATGCAGGAGCTCAGGTGCCATTGGCACTACTCTGTTCTGGTATTGTCTGAAGCACCCTCGGCAGGCAAGGTCTTAGTGGTCCACTATGCAGGCGCATGAAGACCTTGGGGGCTGGTGAGTGGGGGCCATGGACCTGGAGGGGGTGCTGAGTGCAGTGTCTCGAAGTCTTATGCACACTGCTATAAGAGACGGGCCAGGCAAGTTTCATAGAACATGTGAAGAGTGAGGAGCTGAATCACTGGGAAAGCTCAGAGAATGAAAAGATGTTCCGTCTGGGCCTTCAGTCATGTACAAAACTGCTGGGAACAGAATGAAGGAAGCTAATAGTCCGGAAGGGAGAGTTTGAGAAGTTAGTGTTGAAAGAAGCTGAGCTCCAGCCACGAGTGTTCTGGAAAGGGGGCCTCTGGGCTCTTCCCTGGTAGACGCTGGGCACGGGGAGGCTGGGTGTGAGCTGGGGATACTGGGAAGAACTCCCAAAGTGCAAAGCAGCATGAGCTAGGAAGAGAAAGGAGCTGAAGAGCAGGTGATACAAGTCAATAAAGTGCCCTCAGCTGTGTGTTGGCAAGGAGGCCCCAGAGCAGTACAAAGTCAGCTCTGGTCCCTGGGCAAAGGTCTTGGTTGCTTTCTCCCGGGAGGTAAAGGGCAAAAGTGCCTCTGTTGCTTAAAATCTTTCTGTGTCACACCCTGAATACATCTTCTCCTCCAGAAAGACACCTGCAAAATTTATTTTTTGCTGCATAATTTTCTCCATTAAAAATACTGAAGATATTCATCTCTACTCCCCATAGCAATTAGAATTGAGATAGCTTTAGACTTCTGTACCTTCTAGTGGGACGCTGTCCATGAAAATCAAGCCATTATACAGAAAATTTCATAGATATACTGAACATCAACTTTTTACCTAAATGCTTTTTTCCTTTGTAAAAGGTTAAAAACATGTTATAAATCAGGCAAAATAAGATATATATATATATATAGCTAGTGTGTGTGTATGTGAATGTGTGTGTGCATGAGTCTGTATGAGGCTGTGTTCTCTGTGTGTATTTTTCAACAAGCAGCTACAGAAAGCCACATGGGCTTACCTGCATTCACAGGGACACTGAGGACGATTCCGAGAGACATCAGTGTGGGATATGTAACAGCAATTCCAAAATTTAATACAATATTGAATGCTGAAACAGAATTTAGAAAGTGAGTATTATTCAACTGCCCTGTTCTTTTCCTCCCCACTGACTACGCTGAGCACTGTTTCTCGAGGGAGGCTGGAGCCAGAATTACAAGGACCCTTTGTGGGATTTCTCCTAAGGTGTCAAGACCAGGGATCAGGGAACAGTACTCTGGCTGCTCGATGCCCTGTCTTTCCTGACCTTTGGAGAAGGGAAGCAGAGCTCAGAAGGTGACCAGTGGGGAAGAGGGTGGGGATTTGCTTTGCTGCTGGCTGTGCCTCTGGGGTGGCTGCAGGGCTGCAAGCTTTGCAATGCGGGTTTCTAGAGGACTCTGGCGAGCACCTACTTTGTTGACTTTCTGCCTACAGCAGCCTTCTGGTAAGTGACAACCATGATGACCATGATAATAATAATGACCATATTCACTGAAGGCTGACACTGAGGCAACGTTTTAAGAGTTCCCTCCCTGTGTATTCACTTACAGCTCCTTATCTACTCTCACTCATGGGGAACAAGCAAGGAACTGGGCTGTCAGCTCCCTGCCAGGGAGGCAATGATCACTGTCATTATGACAAAGACTACAGTTCTGGAAAAACTTTACTTTGTGAGACATAAAGGTCTTCAAAAACAGCAAAAAGTTGGGGGTAAGAAGGAACACTGTTTTTCTCTTTCAGCACACAGGCTTCCAGAGCCCTCCATGCATCTGGGCAAGTTAGGTGCCACTTACTCAATAAGAGAATGGAAAATCCACAAAGGTTTCCCCATGGAATGTCATCGAAGGAGCTCCAGTATTCCACTTTGGTGAAGTAGAGGATGACAGGGATGCAGGTGATGAAGAGGATGTTGAACACCCCCAGCATGGAAAGGAATAAGGCAGCTTCTCCAAACTTGGCGCTGCCTAGCAGGAGTTTGAAGAGAACCTGTGGAGAGGGGAGGAAGTTGAGGGCTCCTGCAGACTCCAGCTTGGTGAAACAGTCTGTGCTTGGTACAGCTGGGGCTGCACCAGAGGATGTATGGCAAATGGCTTGGGGAAAGTTTACACCAGTTAAGGGGTTGTGGGCTAGGTCTGTGGGCCTCTGACCACATCCTTGCATCTCTATCACAGAGCAATACAGATTACCAGAAAGCTTCTTCACAGTGACAGGTATTCACACTAGGTGTGGCTTGTCTTTTTTGTATTCATACAACAATTGGATATATCTGCCCAGATTACACATCTTCTCAGGACCCTGAACCTAAGCAGCACAGTCTGAAACCATCATCCCAAGAAAAAGGGCTTTGGCTGCAAAGACCTTTTCTCTAAGATGTCAGGGGCAGCGATTTGCTCACCTGTTCTGTCCCACCACTCCCATGAGGGACAGGGCATGGATTTCAGTGGAATGCACTGAACTTTGATTTCCTGGGCCTGTTTTTCCTATTCTTGTTGGCACATTATTTTGGATCCTTGGAAGGTCAGGAGAAGGACTGGAGTGGCCATAGGCTTGACTTAGCGATGCTAAAGGCCCCCTCCAGGTCCCTCCAGAGTTTAGTGCTCTGGTCTCCACGTTGTACCTCTGGCTTTTCCCACTTTCTCCTTGTCCTATCATTGAACACCTCATAAGGTGTGTCCAGACACACATGCAGGGAGTATGCAAAGGGAGAGATGGCCCTACAACCCAACATCTGTTAAATCCCTCTGGACAAATTTCAGGTAGCAGAGACATGGGGTTAGGAATCTGAGTTAGAATAGTGTGTTTTTGTGGATGGCATTTACACTGCTCTTCGTTGCACACAGCTGACTAAGGCAGAGCTGAGGCTTGTATTATGTCTGCACTTGGAGAGTGGCTTTGAAATCTCAGCTTGGTGCCAGTCTATCAAATCCCTTTGGTGAGATGTGTTCGGGGGCAGGGCAAAATGATGTGTGTGCCTCTCTGGGGCAGAGAGGGCAGGGAGCTGATGAAGGATAAGAAGGCAAAACCATTTCATTTTCCAGAAACCATAGCACGTGGTGCTTACAGAGCTGGGGTAAAATTGCTTTTTCTTCTCACTTTCTACAGTACTTAAGGTTCTCTGTCCAGCTGTCTGGATCCACAAAGGGCTGATATGTCTCAAAGCTAAAGACACATTTCTCACTGAATCCTCCAGGTCCATATAAGTACTCCAACTTGAGACCTGAAAGTAGCTGTGCTGTCTACCATACCCCAAAGAAGAAGAGAGCAAAAGACAGGAAGCAAGGGAAGAGAGCAAGCAGGAGGCTTGGTCAGTTGAAATGAGGTGAACAGAGCTAGGGACCCCAGGGTCCGAGTAAATACTGTATCCGTTGCCCCTACACCCAGTAAGGAAGTGCTGATAGTTCTCAGTCATGCATCTGTTCACTTTGCCTCCTGGCAATGTTTGAATCTAGGGTAGATTCATGCTGCTGGCCACAAAGCCTGTGATATGGTCACGGTAACATGACAAAAGGTCCTAATCTCATGGGTGGGAATTCATCTGAGCTAACACTGGGCAGCCTCAGAGGGCCTGGAGCCTCCTCCATCCCACAGAATAATGAAGTCACGGTCAGCCAAGCAGCATCATGCATTTTACCCGAACTGCTGCAGATGTATGATTGACACTGGAAAAGTCCAGACAGCCAAAGCTGTGGGAAGCCACTGCTTGGGCCCTACCTTTGGTGCTCTCCACCCACCTTGTGTGCACAGGAAATGACAGTCCTTCTCAGCACTGGTGCCATTCAGGGTTCCCCAGAGTGAAGAACCATCTCTGAGACACCCCCATATCAGCCAGCCAAGCACTGGCCTGCCTGGAGAGTGGTTTCCTACTCGTACCTTGTAGAGAGCCGACATGGACGCAGAGCCCACCACCAGAGCAATGCCAATGACGGAGTGGCTGTGGAAGCCATCGGCGTAGGTCATCATCACAATGCCAGCGATGGCGAGGATGGCGGCCACGATCTGGATGGGTGGAAGGAAATGGGGGTCAGGAAAGCGGTGGGGAGTCGGATGGATCATGGGAGGCCCATCAGCAGGAAGTATTGGTGGGGGAGCATGGCATCTCCATTCCAGGCGTCCTGGGGGAAGGACAGGTACGGGTACCCCACTGCCATGTTTGTTGCTCCTTAGAGAGTCACTTAGCCAAGTTTGGCATGACCAAGGACCTGAGCAGGTGGCAGCCAGGAGTGGAGCATGACTTAGTCTCAGCCTCAGGCCATGGCAGGTCACCATGACTCTTGGAAACTTGTAATTCTGAATTCTGATGGCAAATTAATTTGTCATGATAAGTCTTGGTCAAGAGTCCCTGGATGACACTATCTGAAGGTGACCTCATGTGTCCTTGCTTCTATAATTTTGTGTCTCAACAGGAAAGGTATAGAGGAGAGAGTAGTGGGGCCAGATAGAGCATACCAGCCAGTGCTGGCTATAAACAGTGTCCTGACCTGCAGGAGCAGCTCTGTCCCTTAGCTCCTAGGGAGTCAGGGTGTCCTCAGTAGAACAGATGTGTGCAGCCAAGTTTCAACAACTGGTTTTACCAAGAGAGCCATCCCACTTATGGATCATTCAAAATCGATGTGAGCTGTCTATAAAAATGTCAAGTATCTAAGATTTACTTGAGTTTTCTTTGTATTTTCTCATTTTATCCTCAAAATAGATATCCAGTATTTGCCTCATTTTATAGACATGAAAACTTGGCTCACTTGGTTAAATAATCTACCCAAAGCCACATCCTTGCAGTGTGCATAAGCAGACATAAATTTCAGGGGTGTCTGATGGCAAAGTTGGTGCTGATGGATATGAACAGGATAGCCTAGAGTGCCCAGTAAGCTTTTGCTAGCTGGGCTCTTAGATGCAAACTGAGGTTTCCTCAATGGGTCAAGTCATTGGTTTCCAGGCTAGTAGAGCTAATGTGGTTGAATGTCACACAGTGTATCTGACTTGCACACTTCTCCTGGTGCCTCCTGCATGCAGTATTTCCACAGAACACTACATGTGCCTGTAAAACACAGGCCCTGGGGGCCAGACGGTGTCCCATGTTAAAGCTGGCTCTCATCTGCCTGCTTAGGGTTATTCACTCAGTCATCTGTGTCCTTCTGTACCACACACACGGAGACACTTCACATTCAGATGGACTATGTATGACTGCTCACTAAAAGATGCAGAGGGTACAAGAAAATAAGCAGCTATCCCTCCCACCGGAGGACAAGAGAGTGGCAAGGGACAAGAGATGGAGATGAGGTGATGTCTGCCCCACAGGACAATGTGATGCAAGGATGCCACTTGGAACAGTTCAGCCTGGCTAAGCGTCAAAGCCCGATGCCCTGGAGAAGAACTCAGAAAAGGAAGAGGGGTCAGAGAGAAGAGAAGAGCCAAACTTCCAGTGATTCTGTGCATCTCCAAACCTGCTGGAGTCTTTCTAAACTTCCAGCTAAAGTTGAGGGAATGAAGAATAGGGTTATCTTTTCCCCAAGACTTGCCAAGCAGGTTTCTAACCTCTTACTCTGTGCTACTGATTAAATAATAAGCAGCTTCCACTACAGCAGGGCCCATCAGAGCACTGGAGGGGAGGGGTTGGAGGAGCCAGAAGTGAGAGGGGAAGAGGCCCCCCACTTAGGTCGTGAGAAGACACATGTCAGAGGCCCTGTGGGTTCCTTCTGGCAGACGGATCAGGGGCAGTGACCTCCCAGGATCCCAGTCACAAGTCACAGTATCTGTGGACTGGGCGTGGGGCTGCATCTCTGGGCCTCAGCAGCCATACAGGGATGTGAGACCCCAGACAGGTGCCAGAGTTTGTGTATGTGTGTGTGTGGGAGGGGACCTGCCTGGTTCTCAGGATCCTTCAGAGCAGAGCTGAGTCCACAGCCTGGGTGTTTCCTCCAGCCTTAATTCCCTTGAAGATTTCAGTTCTTTCTGGAATCTTCTAAACATGCATTTAGCTTGGTGTGGCGGCACACTCCTGTAATCCCAGCACTCTGGGAGGCTGAGGCAGGAGGATTGCAAGTTTGAGCCCAGCTGGGCAATACAGAAACTTAGGGAAACCCTGTTTAAAAAAAAAGAAGAGGCTGAGCAAAGGCCCTGGGTTCAATCCCCAATACTAACAAAAACAAAACAAATGAACAAAAAACCCAAAAAAGCACATGCTTATTTATTTTACATGTTTTGCATCCTAAGGCATTGAAATTCTTGATCCTCAGATGAAAACATTTCCAGTGCTGCAGTGGGGTCTCGAGGGTTGGTGCAGTTTGACCTGCAGTTTCTTACACACCCCAACCTTTTCTCCCCTGGGAGGTGCTGCATGCGCTTGTGGACAGGGACAAGCTGTCTTGTCTCCTTATCCCACTCATTCCACTGCACTGTCCAGAAATAAGCACTACTGGGCAACTGTGCCCTGGGACAGGGCTGCTGAAAACCACCACCTCTGCTTCATCTGGGGACAACTCAGTGGAGTGAGGAGAGACACAGGCAGGAGCTGCTGTTAGGTGTCTTTGGGTATCTCATATGCTTCACCCATCAGGACCTGACAGCTTGCAGGCTGAGATCTGAGTCCCAGCAACTGTGGCGCAAGCAGGATGCCGCCTACTCCAGCTGGGCTGAAAGGGAAAGGAGGGACCCGGGAAGAGGGGAGATAGGAGGGCCTGTGCTACCCATCATGAAGCCCACAGCTGCTGCCTAGTCTTGCTCAAAATGTGGCAGGCTGCATGTTCTTTGCCAAACAGAACCAATCTGGATGCTTTTTAAATTGTACAGTTCTGCAAAAGGGAAAGAACGAGCTAGTTTCAAATATGCTCTCCTGAACCCTCTTCTCCCTGGTTTCTAGACTCTTCTCATTGACCCAGTGAATGTCAGGGTTTGGGGCAGTTGAGCAACTCTGAGTTGCTCCTGCTTCCTGTCGTCTGTGTCTGCTCTGGGTCAGGCTTTGGGTGCAGGATCACCGTATGCGATCAGATGTGGGAGTCTACATCTGGAAACAGTGGCTGCAGTCTGAGAAGGGAACTGATCTTGGGAAAAGTCCACCATCCCAATGCCCAGCACTGGAGCTTCAGCCTGCATGGGTGACCCCCTGGCAAGAAGGGTGACCTTACTCTGTCTTCACCCTCAACACCATGTGAAAGCCCTGCCAGCGAGCATGATCATGAATAGGCCTGAGCAAACCCTTACAATGGAGGCTGGGGTCTCACCCAGTCTGGCCACAGTTGGTGGGCTCTGTGCCCTCAGGCTCTTCCTGCTTTGTGGTGACACACAAACTGCCTCCCTAAGTATTCACCAGCCTCTGACACCATCAAAAGACATGGACTGACCCATTTGCCTCTTCTAATTGAGAAAGAATAATAACGACACTGAGGAAAGTTAATATTTCTTGAATTTTATGAGCCAAGCACACACCTGCTCATTTTATTCTCAAAGCTGATCCTTGATAATGGTCTGTCCACTTTAGAGATTGAGGTAAACTAAAGCCGAGAGCCATTTACCCAATGTCTGATGGGTTTTAAGGGTAGAGTGAAGACCTGAATCCTACTCATATGACTAGCTTGAGCACCTCACCACTGTATAAGAACTTCTGGTCTTGGACATACAAGAAATACACACTGAGACAGAAAGCAGTTTCCATGGCCAAATGAACAGCTCTTTACCTCTGATGCTGGAAACCCAAACATTATAGAGCATATTTGCTTCCTTCTGTATTTATGTACATGAACAAGGCCTTTCCATGTTTCCCAGGAGCTGCAGCTGTCATGAGCATGAACATCTCCTCTGCCACTTGCCTTATGGATACATGCCTCTTGGCCCCTTGGGATGGGAAACCAAGTGAGCTTTCTTCAATCTTTGGAAGCTCCTAGTAGAGGATGCTAGCTAACCTGAAAGTTAGAAGTCTGAGTGATCTATGCAAAATTATATATTACCTTGGAGTCCAATCTATCTGCTATGAAAAGGAAGCTTTCAATCTCATGTGTTGCTGATCGCTGAAGAACCAGCCCTGACCCCACATCAGGAAAGCTATTAGATTATCAGCCATTTATTCCCAAGAAACACTCCCAGTGTTTGCAAGTTACAATGCCCCAACAGCAACAACCAGCTTGAGCTCTTCCATGGCAGCACTGGGCTAGTACTAGACACCTTCCACGCAAAACGTCACATAGTGTTCAGTGGTCAGCTGAGACCACTGGATCAAGTGGCACATGGCTAGACTGTACCAGGTCACAGATGTTGGAAGAGGCACCTTATCCATGACTAGAAAGGCCGGAAAGATTTGGAAGGGCCATGCTGCTCTCTGTGAGTGTGGGAGTACTTCAAACTTTTTCATATCTCCATTTATTAAGCTCAAAAAATTCTATTTTCTTATGTGAGATACAGTATTGTTCTTAAACTATCTCTCTCCAATAACAAGGCCTCATTTGTAATTTGCTTGGGTCATCTGAATCATGCCAAAAAGCTTCATGAATTTTCTTGTCTCTGTACCTCAGAATAAAGTCAGAAAGGGCATGATGGCTCATGGTGGCCTGGGGACACCCCAATCCTTAGTGTTGAGTCAGGCAGGCCAGGAGTGAGTGACAGCAGGGTACCCATAGCCCTTGCAGAAATGTATTAGATCATTTGTTTGTGAAAAGGCTTTTCTGGGTGGTAGCCCAGGGAGTGAGGTTTCATTCCAAAATTAACACTTAAGTCTCAAAACAAATTCTCCCCCTACTGCAAGCTAAAAATACAACTCAGCAGTTGACTCATGTCCCCACTGCTGTTTGAGTAACTTGGGTGGGGGTGAACCCCACCCTTAGGGTGATGTCTTTGTTCTCAGGGCCTGGAGCCTGGCCCCTGCTGGTCCCCAGCAGGACTTGCTTGCACCTGGCTGTCCATTACAGGAGAGAAAAAAGTAAGAGATGTAACAACAAGAGAGCCAGTGGTGTGGCTAAAGCTGTTTCTGTCCTGGTCTACAGCAAGGTGATGGTGGACAGCAGCATCTCCTGCCACTAGAGTCAGCCAAGCAGAGGCCACCAGGATTCTGTCCATGCCACGGTCACCTGCTTCTTTAACCTGGAGTGTGGACTCTCTGTATTTCAGTTGGTACTTGACAATGAATTCATCGTATTTCCTACAACTCTTACAAAATCTGACTTGCTTTGTATTTTACTGAGTTTTGCTTGAAAAATACACAGCAATCTAAGAGATGTAATTTCATTCGGCTTGCACCTGCAGAATGAAGGAAGTGGAACTACTACTCCCACAGCCTGGACTTGGCATGAATGTGTCTGGCTCCCTCGGGCTGGGACACATGGGCTAGGCAGAGGGCCACACCCACACACGCGCATGGAGAAGCAGGGTCTCTGGCTTCCAGATGATCCTCACCACAGAGTCCTGGCACTGGCAGAAAGCTCCAGGCTGCAGGGCACAATCATGCCATGTGCTGCAGCCTGGGAAGCTGCTACGGGAGAGTGAATGAGTATGCGGAGTGGAGCACATGGCCATTCGCAGGCTGGGTCCCCAACCAGCACACACTTTAGGGAATGCTTGTTGAAATGCTTGAAATGAAAGGTGCTTTAATGGATGCTTGTCTTGTATGGTTTGCAAGCAAGAAGGTTTGCAAGGCACACCAAGAACTGAGCCCTCTGTGGGCCCCTTTTCTGCTGCGAATTAGGACAGTGACCAGCAGCTCTGCTCGCGGTCCAGCACATGGAGCTAAGCAAGCCAATGGGCAGGTTGTGGTTGACATGACTGAGTGAGGGAGGAAGACAGATAATAAGGAACTTACCCTCACTCCCATGAACCTGTCCCTGAGAACGATCCATGAGAGCAAGAACACAAAAGCTTTGTTGCAGCAGAACAACACGGAGACATCCGTAGTGTTTATTTTCTTTATTGCATGTAAGTACAGGTAGTTTGTGAGTGTCCAAAGAACACCGAAAGGTGCTGCCTTGGTAAAAAACACCTTCAAAGTCAAGCCATTGTCTCCAAAAAATCGACAGCATTCCCTAAAACAAGGAGAGAGAGGCAGTGTTATTATATTCTTGGGTAGATACAGACCATTTTTTTTCCTATACACAATTTTTAAAAGAAAATATAGGAGGGGACAAAGTTTTAAAATTTATTATCTTTTTGTTTTCAGTACTGGGAATTGAACCTAGGGCTTCTTGCATATTAGCCACATCTTCTGTCACCAAGCTATATCCCCAACCCTTTTTATAGTTGAGAGCCTTGCTAAATTCCACAGACTAGACCTCAACTTGTGATACTCCTGCCTCAGACTCTCAAGTAGCTGAGATTATTACACTTTTTAATAAGATCTATTATTGTTGTTGGAACTATTATTTTGGTCAGTTGGAAGGTGTTGCACAGGGACTTGATGTCATAGTTGTTTCCTCTTGTTTGGAATTGGTCATTCTACTTAGAAGATGTGGTGGAATTATCTGATTTAAAGGCTCACATCCATGGTAGTTAATTGAGTGACTCTGTCACTTGTTGAATAAGAGAGGGAAGTCCCTAGATCTTTTGTTTTTTTAAGCGAGGAAGCGAATGGTGAAGGGATGTAAATATATTTAAAAATTTTGTCCCAAACTGGAACTGTCTTTGTGGTCAGGGTAGTCACTTCCTGACCACACATCTAATATATATATATACTTTGGCTATGATGCAAGCAGTGCTAACTAGTATGTATTTTCTGATGCCACTTTTAGAATACTTCATCCTAACAAAAGGAAGTGCTCTCTGTCCAAGTCTCTAAGAGCCTTCCCAACCCAGGAAGAGCAAACAGACCTAAGATGTCAGAGTTTTCAGGGAGGACAAGATGAGAAAGCATCTGCAGAAGGAAAGACAGCTATTATAGATCATTGGGAGAATGATCATGAGCATCTGAAAAAGCATTTAAGTGCTCTACATGCAGAAAAAGAAAGTTGGGAGACAACAGAGGTCGCAAGTATGGAGGGAGCCTCGGCGAGAGGCCTGATCGGTGGACAGCTGCTCCCCACCCCATGTGTTAGGGAGTAAAGATCATCACTCCGTGAGGTCTGATGATACAATGAAGGGTTGGACACAGGAGGAGGTGCTACCTGTAGGGAGGTCCCTGTCTCTGTTAAAGACATAACGAAGCTTAGCTAAAGGGATTAATGGTAGCCAGTAGGAAAGGGAGTCGGCTCAATGGGGACTTAGACTCAGATACCCTGAACCACTACAAGAGCAAAACAAAAGATGTCACTAGGCTGAGCCAAATACATGAGGATGGAGAATTGTCTATCCCCTGACTACTTGACATTGAAATCTAGCACTGGAGGAGAAAAGTTAGAGGCAATGACTGTTAGTCTATAGCAAAATACATCTTTATTACTCAATGATGAAATAGCCATAGAAGAGAGAAAACTCATTAAAAAAGGGTAAAGGCTAAGAAGGTGAGCAGGGGGAATTGCACTTATCATTTTATAAAACATGGTATAGTTCTGCCACTTTCACTGAGCTCAGAGTCCTATGTTGCTTCTCACCAGATAGAATTTTTGATTCACAGGTTTACCATGAAGCCCACTCAACTGGATCGCTTCCATTTTGGCAGCATGTGGATACAGCGCTCCTCTAACCAACAGGCTGATATTTCTGTTACCTGGGAAATGTTTACAGAGCATTTCAGCGGCAATTTCTATGGGATTTTCTCAAGCCTCTGTTCATAGAACAATCTGCCTTCCCCCAGGGAGAGCAGCCAGAAAGGAAGGCTTCCTTCATGTCTGTGACTATGGTGGCTGCCAGGTCACTTCAGTATGTCAACAGGAATATAAGTATTCATTCCTGCCGTTAATACCAACCTATTTCATCTATATTCTGAGGTTTCCCTTCAGAACTGAATGCCAAGCAAGCAGGATTTCCACGTTCCCCTTGACTTGCTATTATACAAAATGATTCATAGTGGGGCAAGGGCTGTCCACAGTCAGCTGGACAGCTATTTCCTCTCTGAGAATCTGCATTTGATTCTTCCAACCCTGGTGGTTATAAACAAGGTAGAGAAAAGAAATAGGGCACAGATACGGCTCAGTACTGCCTGCCCAAACTGCTGGAAATGGGGAGAGGATTGAGATCTCATCCTGGAAGTGGAAAAAGCCAATGCTCTGGGTCTGGTAGAATTTGGCTGGCTTTTTGAGGACTCACAGCCAAGGATTTTTTACCTTATCTTGGTGAATCCAGGTCTATCAGACCAAGATTATTGGCCCCTTACAGGTCTTGCTCTGTTTTAAGACAATAGGCTGAGCACTAATCCATGTCAGTTGGCTTTCTTATGTATGCCCTGGATTGCAAAGGGAGATGCAGGGCTCAGGTGTACTTCTGCCAGAGGCCTCTTCTCGAAGCACAAAGACTAGAGTACAATAGATTCTGTGTGGGGACTTCTGACCAGACAGTTAAATATCCTTCCTTTCATCTCTTCTACTCTCTGATGTCCAACCAAAGTTTAGGTGTGTTTGTTTACAATCCTGTTTGTGCCAATTTTTCATGGGTGCTTAACTACATAGTTTAATTAAATATTTATAAATCAATATGCTATGAATAAGAAATGTTACTCTGTAAAATCTAAGTTGATAGCTTCAAGGAAAACAATAAAATGAGGCACTGAAATATTGCTATTGAGTTATGTATTCAAAGAAACATGGTACAAGGCAGGAAAGACTACAAACATCTTTAAATTCTGCATTCTTTTTATTTGACCTATAAGCTCTTGGTACTCTTTAAAGAATCCTGACTGCAGTCTGTCTTGGTGGGATTAATGATAGCTTATCATTTAATTCAAATCAACAAACAGTTGATTACTATTGATATATTTTCAGCTCTAGGTAAGGACTGTGGCTGATGTAGACAAAGTAAACTTTGCAAAATTAAGAAATCTTCTTGAACCTTTTACTTCGTAATTTTCTTTACTTTGAGTTTTTGTTTCTGTTTTCTTTTCCTGGGGTTTCTTTTAATTTGATGTTGGGTCTTCTGGTATGATTTTCTAATTTTATCTTTTATTTCCTTTTGTCCTTCACTTTTTTCTTGGTATTATCCTACAAAACATTATTTCAAATTTATACTCCAACTTTTCTACTAAATTTTAAAAATTGGTTCTTATATTTAGTTCTCAAGAGTAGTCCCTACTCTTAAGATGTACATGGGGACAACTGGAGAGATGAAGCTGACCTCTCATGGAAAGCAAGATAACCCTAAATGAGGCAGGAGATGAGGGGATGGCAAACTAGCTGCCAATATCAGAGATCCAGGAAACACACAGAAAAATAGTTCATAAAGCCCTGTACTTGGGACCACAGAAAGCTCTTTCAACCTTCTCATAAGGACTCAAGCAGACTTTTTTTTTTTTTTTGTCTTTTTCATTTTTATCGGTACCGGGGATCGAACTCACGACCGCCTGCTTGCAAGGCAGGCACTTACACCGCTGAGCTAAACCCCCAGCCCCTCAAGCAGACTTTTGATAGGGTGGCCAAGACCTGACATCATCTTGAGGAATGTGAGACACAAAAAATGGCTGCCGTTGAGCTGCTGGCCACTGTGTTCTCTTTCACAGTTGTCTGGTCTCACTCTGAAGAGTGTACTTTTCTTCCTTTTAATTGGGCTATCCTCACTCCAAAAAGCATGGTTCTTTTCTTGCCTTTAATAAATGTGAGCTCTGTCTACCTTTTGTGCTTACTTTGTCCCATTCTTTGTTGAGGACAAGAAGAACCTAGAAAATATCTCTAGCAGGTATCCCCGGCATCCTAGAACCTGGCAACATAAATACAATATTAGATGGCATATAACAGAATACCATGGAATTCCTGTCCACTGTAGAGTTAGAAGGATTGGATAAGACCTCATAAAACATGTAGATTCTGAGTTGAACCTTGAAGGATACATAGGATTTATATAATCTGGAGGGAGACATACATGGAGGAATGGTATCGGTGAAACAAGAATGAATGGTTTCTCAAAAATAAATCAATATTGGAAATTAAATAGAGGAAAAACAAACAACAATTAATAGAAGAATTGAAATATAAAATTAAAATAGTCTTTTATAAAATGAGACAGAGAGAGAGAGCTGAAGGGAGGAGGAAGTGGGTATGTCTGTTAATTACAAAATCCCTAAGATACACGTGCAGAACAGTTCGCAAAGCCCTGCACATGGACCTCTTATGAGAACTCAAGCAGGTTTTTGATGGGATGATCCAGTCTTAATGTCAGTCCGAAGAGTGGGTGATACAAAAAAGTTAGTCACTATTGAGTTTTTATCACTACGTTCTCTCTCGCATAGTGGCCTCTCTCATGCCATATATACACTTCTTTTCTTACTTTTGCTTCCCCTAAACTCACTCTGCAGAGCCTATTTCTTTTCCTTCCTTTAATAAAACTTTGCTACTCTTTGTGCTCATCTTGATCAATTTTTTGCTCAGGACAGAGAGAACCTAGAGACCACTTACAGAAGGAGACTCCAGCACTCCAAAACAGCACCAACCCAAGGGTGTAAGCCAAGGGTGCAGCGGATATGGCAGTAGGAAGGAGGGATCCAACATGAGCAAGAGAGAAAGCAAACCGTGGCAAGACGCTCTGCAGCCAACCAGGGAATCCAAAAGATTCCAGGAAGGGAGTCTCCAGGAAGGGTTCTTAATTCATCAAGAATGGAGGAAAATAATGATGCGGTTCTGAGATGCTGGAACATTTACCCCCCCCCCCCCACAAAAGCAATCATTAAAATGGAAATAAAGAAAAATGAGACAAAAGAAGCAAATATTATTGGCAGAAGAAATGAGGGGTTGTTCACAAAGGAAGGCAGTCAGGGGACAAAATTTGCAAGCTCATAATCATGAAAATGCTCTTAGTTAGAAATTAGGATACCACTGTGTTGGAGGAAATGGAACCAGGAAGAAAATAAGTGCAGTAGTACAGAAATCAGTGCAAATCTTATTTAAGAAGGGCTGAGATAAAAATTTAATTTAGGCAAATTGGTATAAACCTCAGGGGAAAGTATCCA